GGTGGGGCATTTCGTATTGGGAGACCTTCCGCCACCATCACTGCCTCAGGCAGCCTCTCCCGGTGGCACCTTCGGGTTCGCGCTGGAGGGACTTGGGAAGGAAGCCAAGCTCAGATTGGCCTGGCTCTTTTGCTTGGCAGGCGGGTGTGCACCCACGGCTCGCTTTCCTGGCTCTGCCCAGCCCGCACGGCTCTGGAGTGGCCCTGGCGGGATGAGCGGAGGGTCCGGCGGGGAGGTGCTCGCTGCCTTGGTGAGAGCTCTGCTGCCGGGAAGGAGGGCCCACCTGTCAGCTGCGCTGGGCGCCCCAGGCGAAGCTCTTTGCACTCTACCCGGCGCCAGGCAGGGATGGCAGCTGGGCGCTTCTCCCGAGGTGGGCCGATCCTGCACTGCGGCCCTGGGAGATTCGCCTCCCCACGTGGGGTTGGGCTGCCCTCTCGGGCAGGGGAGGCTTTGTTGTAGTAGGGCGTCGTTTTTAAAATAATTGGCTTTACCTTCAAAGGCAAAGGGAAGGCGGCGACAGGAGCGCCTGAAGCCGAGTGTCTCCGCCGGGCTTCGGTTGCAGGGAGGAGCCCTGGCTGGCCGCACGTGGCTGCGCCAAACACCGCGGTGTTGCTCTAAATGCCACGGCAGCAAGGGAGAAGGGAAAGCAACAGTGACGGTGTCCCGATACGAAGTGCCCCACCAATGTCGAGGTCAACATCCAAGCTGTTGCTGCCTGCCCACCTGAGGATGCAAGGGGGGGGGAATTAAGTCACCCCCGAGAAGACGGCCTAGCCGTTTTTTCGGGGGTCAAAAAAAAATAAGGCCCGGCCTTATTTTGTGAGAAACATGGTAATATAACAATACAATCTTATGTACCTTTACAGAATCCCTTTTTCAGTTAAGTTTTCACTCATTATCTCTAAATAGGCTGTTTCTCTATATCTTGTTTCGGTCCTTTGTAACTTCTTCTCCTTTCCTTCTTCCCTCTCTTATTTTCTCTCCCCTTTTTACCCCCTTGTCTCTCTACCTCTATTTCTCTCTTCTGTATTCCCCTCTTCTGTTGCTTTCCAGTATTATACTTATTTTTTGAATTATTTTTCTTTTCTTTGGTTGTTTTTTTAAGTCTTAAATTCTCCATTCTCTTTCCCCCCTTTCCTTTTTCTTCCCCACATAGAATTACTTGTTCATTAAAGATGGCTTCTTTGTTCCAGTCTTCTTGTTTTGCAGATGTTTCTTGTTGTTTCTCATAGTTCCAAATCTCAATTTCTAAGAATTGAAAAACGAAGCCAAAAGAACCCCTCCCTTCTTGTGCATCTTCTTTATACTTTTTAAGTTCCATTTTCAATTCATCCAAAGTAGTGCCATTGTATACATTTTTAAACAACCACCCGATTAATTTTAGTCATTCAAATGTAATAACCAAGAATCCAAAGATCACCAAGTAATCCAAATACACACAAGCTGTTTCTTTTTGCTTTTTTTTCACTTTCTTTTCCTGGGGTTCTACTGTTTAGTTACAAAGTTTCAGTTAAAATGTATCTTTTAGAAGTCTTGTTGAAGTTTTACTGTAGATTCCTTTCAATTCCAGGCAGTCTCCTCCCTCTTTCCAGATCCTGCCCTTTTATTCCTTTTCTCTCCTTTCCTGCTTATAAAAAAATTTTTAGTGTCCAGAAATCTTTATTATCCCTTTGACATTTTGTTTTATTTTCAGCTTAATTGCCTGTTGATGTCAAAGTGGATTTTTCCGATTTCTTATTTAAGTCTCTTAGTTGTCAGGATAAGGAAAGGGAGAGAAGAAAAAAAAACCCAAACCTTTCCCTTTTCACTTTCCTTCGCTGCTTCAGACTCTTCTTTGGGAACGATGTTATTTTTTTGTAAGTTTAAATTCCAGGGTACCTTAGTTGTTGCTTTTGCAATTTAACCTGGTCAGCCAAAACTTTCACTTCTTATCTTCCTCCTGCACATTCTTTTCCGGTCGAGTTCTTTGAGGTGGCCATTTCTGACCACTGCTGCAACCGCCTTCAGGAGAGGGAGTAATGGCCAGCTGAGGAGGAGAGATGTGGCTCTCCTCAACCCTGCTGACAGTCTCCCCCCCTCTTCACCACCTCTACGGGGTGGCTTAGCCCCGAAACCAGCCGGCTCGGGGCGCTCCAGCGGCAAGCCCAGACCGAAACTGCGCAATCACGGATTTCTGTCTGTCGCCGAAGAAGCTCAAACCGGATGTCCCGGAGCTGGAATTTTTATGGTCCCTTCTCTGCTTGCTATCTCTTCAAGAGGTGACAAATTTCTGGACATCTGGCTCCAATCCTCCAGTTGTATATCATGTGTAGGCTATACAGATTCAATATAAGATTTGATATATTCAGGTTATATCAAAAAGGATTACTTGTACCAACTTCCCCTCCCTTCTTCTTCCATTGAAGAATGGCAGATATACGGATTCCCTTTCCCTTTTAGTGTACTGAAGCCAAAGCTTAAAAGTAATTCAAAATCTATGCAGAATTACATATATGTGATTTTGAGAGTTCAGCTTTACATGCACAGCTTGATGGTACCTGCCCAACCTTTGCAAACCTTAAAAAGTTAAATTGAACCTCGATACAACTTAGGAGATGACTAGGAAATGCCAGGTTTGTACACTATCTTAAAAAAAAAAAAACAAGCAGAAAGCCGAAGCAAACCATTCTCATTTTCTTACAGAAAAAACCTAGATAGATGTAACCATTAAGTCATTAGGAGTATAGTATTTGGAGAAACAATATAAAAATGTTAGAGTGTTCTTGCTATAAGAAATGTGGAGTGTGTGCTTGGAATGAATTATGTTGTTGTAGGATTCTGTGGAATATTTTTAGGGGAAGTCTCTTTATTCAGTTGATACCATAGAATAACAATAACACAGTGTAATGTAATCCCTGTATCCAAGAAATCAGATTCAGTCAGTAGCTTTGTTTAAAGGTTACAGCATGAATATAGAAGTTCAACTGACATGAAGGCAAGAAAGGATGATTCTGTCTTCTGAAAATGGCTCATAGGTGGGAGGGAAACCACTGCATTCCTGTGTTGTGACTCCAAATGACAAAGCCATTCCAAAAGGTTATTGTAGAGTCTAGAACAACTTGTCTCACTGCCGTCATTTGCCACCGCCAACAGATCACTAAGTGTTTTTGATAGTACTGATTACAATCAGACAACTCGGCGCAGTCAGCTCGCTGTAGCCAGCTTGCCATCACCAAGTCACCTCTGCCAACTCACTGCCACCAAATCGGCGTAGGACAACTCCACATTGACAGCTCACTGCGGGCAGCTGGAGGGAGAGCCGGGCAAGCGAGCGAGTGATGGACAGAGCATTGGCCAGCCTTTTTTCCCCCCACCCCTGCTGCCTCTCTGTGCTCTTCCCTTCTGCTCCCTCAGTCTCTTGCCCAGTTTTGCCTCCAGCTGTCCACAGTGAGCCTCTGTGGTGAGTTAGCTGTGTGAGTTGTCCTGCAGCAACTTGGTGGTGGCAAGGTGGCTGCGATAAGCTGGCCCTGCCAAGCTGTCCACGCTGAGTTGTCCCATTGTAGTCAGTACTATCAAAAAGAGTTAGAGATCCAGCAGGATCCATGTATTAGTATTTTGGAAGAGAGAAATAAGGAAAGTCTTAGATCACAGGTATCAAACTTGATCGTATCAAACTCGATCGCGTCACATGACGTATCGTGACTTTTTTTTACCTTTGCCGGGGTGGGCATGGCCTGCATAGACCGGCCCACAGGCCGCCAATTTGAAACCCCTGTACTAGATTATCCCATCCCATTATCTTCCTTAAATGCATCCTGGATCAGTTTCATCCAGAATCATAGAAGACTTTAGAGCTTTTTAAGAGCATTCCCCCAAGTTGATAAATTGACTTTTTTTGCACCAGATTCCAACGCTGATAACTATGGCCTCCCATCCATATCATTTCAAATAATTTTTCTATAATTGTGATTAGGAAAGAACAGATATCTCTCTCCAATCTAATCTCCCCCCCTCCCCAGCAAAAGCGTGAAACAAAAAGAATGGATATTGGCTGAGTATGGTTTCATGGTTTCTTTTCATTACCAAGTATATGGACATGCTCCAGTAAATGCTGTTGCATCCTTCCTATTCAGCCTTGCGAAAATGAAGATACAGCTAACAGAGCAGGCTATGTCATGTGGCAGTCAAAGGCCGAGGTAGAGAAGCGTGAAAAAGTGCCTGAATCGTAACATAGAAATGCTAATGTTAGAGGGAGGGAGTGCGCTTGGATGGTAGGTTGGAGATGGTCCTTGAAGTCATGAGTTCTCAGTGTCATCTCCCTTGTGCTCTCCTGGAGCCTTTAGTTGGACTAATAGTTTCTACTATTTGCCCCTTCCCTCTCCCCAGACAAAGAGAAGGCAACAGGAAATGGGCATAGAGCAGGGGCTCAGTCAGAAGATCAATATAAAAGAAAGTATTTGGCAAATAAATAAATGAAGCAGTTTGGGAGGAAGTAAATTTAATAGGGGATGGTATGAAATAGATTTTCAGTAGGACCCAAGGAAAAAGAGAGGCAACGTTTTAATTCTTTTCTTAAAAGCCTTCAGAAGTAGATACAATATGTACACCATACCTTCATATGCAGAGGTTGGGAAATCCTGGTCCTATCAATCTATGAAAATTATGATCCTCTCTGTTTAAGGGGAAAAAATGAACAAAATTTAAACTAGGTTGCAGAAAGCTGCCCACTGTTGCTCTGTTTCATATAAGGAATTTAAATTTTAAGTGCCCCATTAAGAATGAATAATTCACCTTCTCATATTTTTATCTGATTAAATATCAGAAGCTTTTTTGATACCATTTACTTAAATATACAATATTGACATTATTAATTTTATTATTACTGATTCATTTATTATGGCCACTCACACTAGAAGACTCTGGAAGGCTTGCAGATTTGAGAAATGCATGCCTGTATGTGAGTGTGAGTGTGTGTGCTGAGTGATAAGCAGATGACAGTGTTTATTTATTTTTCCCCAAAGGGATCTGAAATGCAAAATTGAAAAAGAAAGCACTAAGCGGGAGCTATTGTCCAATCAATCTCACCTCAACGAAACATTTTGTATCCATTGCCTGCAACCCTTTAAGTTTCTATTGAACAGCAAACACCAGTGCTTGCACTGTCACTTGTACATATGCAAAGGTTGTAGCCAGTACAACAAAAAGAAGCAAAGTTGGATGTGTGATCCATGCCGCCTAGTGAGGTAAGTAGGCTAGACATGAGTTTTGTCATCTCCTTTCTTTATTACAATTCTGACTAGACATTAAGCGGTAACTTTCTTAAACTTGTTAATTTCTCACGTGAAGCATAGTTTTCATGACTTAGCAAGTCTTACAAAGAAAACTGTTTCGTTTAGTTAGTTTTTGTTCATTTGAATTTACCTCCTATTAGTAATATCTATACCTAGAACTGAGAACTAATTATGATGAGAGAAAAATTATGAAAAAAATTATGGTGATGGATTACAAACCGTACCCTTTTATCCTTGTGGTAAAATGCTGAATGCAACTACATAAAATTTGTGTCATGTTGTTACAAAGTATGTTTCATCACTTGTTATCCCTTTTCTCTGTGGACATCTATGAGAGTAGAAATTAGAGGAAGGAATGGATTGGGGGGGGGAGGGGAGAGACTTCTCCCATTATTAAAAGAAGGAGACTCTAAAACTATAATTATTCAGAAGACACAACACATAGGTTTATTTCTTGGATATTTATTGTAATAGCCTTGTAAATACCGTATTTTTCGGTGTATAAGACGCACTGCACCCCTCCCCTCTGAAGTGGGTGGAAATGTCTGTGCGTCTTATACAGCTAATGTTGCTGAAGCCCCACCCACCTGCCAGCCCCCACCCTTCGGCCTCTGCCTCCCAGCAATTTGTCTCCTTGCAGCAAACAGTCTGGTCAGCTTTAGCACAACCTGATGAGCACAAGCAGCTGATTATCTGCTGGATCGGCCTCCAGATGATCAGCTGTTTCAGGCTGCAGGGTTCACCTATTGCTGCCTCTGCACGCCCCATTTTCGGCCCATTCCAGGTGGCAGGGATCAGAATGGGTAGGTGCCCTGAGGCCAAAAACAGGGTGCGCGGAGGCCAAAAATGGGATGCGGAGGCATGGGTCAAGCAGCGGTGGCAATAGGCTTTGACAATCCCTGCAGCCTAAAACAGCTGATCGTCAGGAGGCTGATCCAACTGACAATCAGCTACTTGTGCTTAATCAGGCTGTGCTGAAGCTGACCAGGCTGTTTGCTGTTTGCTGCCTGGAGTCAAATTGCTCAGAGGCAGAGGCAAAGGCAGATTTTTTTTTCTTGTTTTCCTCCCCAAAAGCTAGGTGCATCCTATACTTCGGAGCATTTATAATCTGAAAAATACCATAAATTATGCTGAAAGATAGTGATTCCTGCAAAGATAACAGTAAATTGAGACACCGTTTTCTTTCTTTTGTTTTAGCTCCATGTACTCATCTAAAAGTAAATTAGCTTGAAGCTGCTTTCTTTCCCATTCTTATGAGAGTTTGATCCACTTTCTAGATTGGCAATTATTTAACATTATGTTAAAAATGTTTAAAAAAATAATGTATAATGCAGTATTTTTAAAAGTTAAATGTGCAAAGATAAGAGCTGTGCTTTATCTTGTCCTTGTTTGGTCTTTTAAAATGCTAAAACAAAAGTAAAAACCTTTAAAATCTTATTTTCATGGATTTTCCACTGTTTATGGCCATACTTCTGTTTTATCTGCCTCTTCTGCTATACTTTAGCAACCATTTTCTTTTTGTTTCTTACTTCCTTGACTGTCAAAAACTAGCAATACCAAGTAACTAATCAGATTTACCCTAATTCCTATAGCAATATCATTGTCATGATAGTCCTTAATGAGTATTATTCATATGATGATCTGTATAGAAACACCCAGATCATATGAATAATCCTTATTAGTTAAGGACTATTCCTTATCTAAAGAATGCCAAATGTGGGACATTGTTTAGAATTTTTCTGAACAATGGCTCCTCCTTTCTGACTCAACACCACATTATCCTCTTTCAAAACTAAAGACAATTCTCTTTAGCTAGAATAATTTTGAGAAAATATAGCCTTATGCTTGCATTATTCATACATAGATAACTAATGCATTGTATCAAAAAACCTTAAGCTTGATACATGTACCTTGAGCCAAAAGTGTGAAGTAACTGGTTGTTTAAAGAGGGTCCTCGTAAAATGAGAACAGTCAACATGTGAATTGTATTTATTTAATTAATTAATTTTTATGTTACCATCTCCCCTTTAAGGCAACTTTCGGTGGCTTACAGGTTATGTTGGTGTTGGAACAAATTCAAGAACAGCAGGATCCTGTTTTTTCTAAATATATATATTGACAGTGTTTGGGTTTATTAGTTATATTTAAAAGCATTATCATTTTCTAGAATAAGAAAAAAAGAAAGAAAGAATAGGACAGGGACGGTAGGCACATTGGTGCGCTTATGCACACCCCCTACAGACCTCTTAGGAAAGGGGTGAGGTCAATAGTAGACAGTCTAAGGTTAAAGTTTTTAACTGCAATCAAGTTTGGTGCGATTAACCTTGAGTTTGTATCTATTGTGTGCTCTTGTGTTGTTATGGTTGAAGGTGAAGTATTCATTGACAGGTATTTTCAGTCTTCTTCACTAAAACCAATTGGAATATTTTAACTGATAGAAGATGTGGAAGAATCGATCCTGGCTAACATGTCTACTGTCTCTCATCTCTTGGGCAGGATTGTCAAAACTGGATCACTGGAATGGTATTATGAACATGTCAGAACTCGTTTCAAGCATTTTGGAAGTGCTAAGGTGATGCGATCTCTCTATGGAAGGATGTCGCATGGACAGAAAACAAACTTTACTTTACTTGGTATGAGCCATGGTCTCAGTGAGATCTTCTCAGTAACTTTCTTAAGAGAGCTTGGAAGATTCAATAAACCACTGGATACTGAGTTAAATAGCACATCACTATAATTATCTCTGAATAACTGCAGTCTATTTCCATATATTACATTACTCTCAGGCCAAAGAATGTGGTTTTCCAGCTGGTTTGATTCCCATCAACTTTGTTTTAGAAAGTTAATCACCACTAGGAAATGGTTTGGAAATAGTGAGTTGGAATGAGATATTTGATAGTTATTTCATTCTAAAATTAGGGATATTCATTTGAAAGTAAAAAAGACCCACTATTCTAAAGATAGTAATATGAAAAAATGGAAAGAATAAGTTGTTTGTAACAGTGAAAATACCAACTAAGCGTTTGATGGTCTTTCATATTTTCCAGCATCCAGACTGGTTATTACGTGCCAGGAGAGAGAATATTAATATATGGAGAGATAATGTAATAATGATTATATAATGTCACTTTCTTGATTGCTCCAAATAAAGCTTTGTGACACAGTCATACTGCCTCCAATATAGTAATTGAGAGAGTGTAGTTATGAGTGCCATAATTATCTTTTACCTATCCTTTTGATTAGTAAAACTAGGAACATTCTGTTCTAAAGAATCATTGATTTCTACCGTCCATTTTTCGCAATGACCACAGAATAATCACAAGAAATAATGCAACAGACAATTGTATCAAAAATATACTTGATTGATAAGCAGGAGTTTATAATCAAACCATAAGGAGTTATCATTATTATGCTATGCTTTTTTTATTGAAGGGAAGCATGCTTCTGTTGTTAATATAGCAGTCTTCTATATCAGGGGTCTCCAATCTTGGCAACTTTAAGACTTGTGGACCAAAGCTGGCTGAGGAATTCTGGGAGTTTGAAGTCCATAAGTCTTAAAGTTGCCAAGGTTGGAGACCCCTGCTCTATATGGTACTTCAATTCCCAAGGGAAGTAAATGCTTCAGAGAATGTGACAGTGCATATATAGCTCCATCATAGAAGCTGCACAATCCAGGGAAATGCATTTTAATTTAAGAAATTTAAAACAGATCTGTGCACTTAAAAGCATGTTTTCCCTTGAATCCAAAGAATTGCACAGCCCAATTGATAATGTTTTTAGAACCCTGGTATGGTTTTAGAACTGAAAATGTCACAGATAATCAGGGCTTAAATTGGGTGAGAGGGTAGAAGGGATATAAAACTGCTAGTAAACAACCTACTATTATGGAATTGGATTAGAGTAAATTTATTCTTCATATACTTCATACTATGTATTCATACTATATATGTACTTCATACTATATATTTAAAAAATTTGCTTCTGTAAAAGCCTTAAGGATTTGTATCCTTTTTTGTTTAAATAGCCACAAAAGAATTGTCATATATCTGTGTACAAACATTTCTGGAACTTTGCTTGTGGTTATTTTCTTTCCAGTTATGGCTCTTTGGATCCAATTCAGAATTTCATTATCTTAGTCAGAACGCACTGACTTTCTGTTGGTTTCTTGGGACACATTAACTCCCAATGTCTTTCCTTTAACACATTCTTCAGTATGGCCAGAGTTTTCTCAAAGCTATGTATTTTTGTTTAGTGAACATCCTATTTCTTGTTTGACACTTGCTTGTTGTATTCATCATCTCTCATGTCACACAGATAAGCTTCATGAACATTCTGATAGTTTTATATATTTATGCTTCTTAGAAATTCTAAAATGAATTAGAATAAAAAAAATGTAAGAGTCTAAATTCATGATTTGGCAATACCAGTCCTAAGGAAATAAAAATGTCACAAAAAATAAGCATTTTTTTTCTAGAATTCATCAGTATGGGACTATAGAAAAAAAAGTACGATCTGGAAATAGCAGGTATGAAATATTGCATCTTTTGACGAGAGGGCATACATATGTTACTAACTGAATGAATAACAAACCAATAACTAAATATTACTAAATGAAATAAATGAGAGCCGGTTTGGAGTAGTAGGCTAGAAACTGAGAGGCCCTGAGTTTTAGATCCACCTTAGGCATAAAGCCAGCTGGGTGATCTCTTTGCCCTCGGATGCAGACTGTAGCAAACAACTACCCTTGCCAAGGGACTTCACCAGGCAGTCTCTGGCAGTTGGATACAATTGAACAGAAGGAGTGGCGGGGGGAAAGCCTATTGACTCAGCCAGGTCTGAAGCTCAGACAGAAAATGAAAACCCATATATAGGCATAAACCTGCTTAAACTGGCCCTCTTCCACTGTCCTTTATCTTCTCCCTCTTTTAGTCTCTGTATTAACAAGGATCAGCATTTAGGTCTGATAAAATGCTGTAATTCTCGTTCACTTGAATGCAGGTTGCAACACTTTTATGGTCAAGGACATAGTCACCCCCTTTCTATATGGTTGAAATTTGTTGGGGGGGGAAATCTATCGTACCCATAAGATAGAAAATTTTACTACGGTCTGAATGAAAATTTAGCTGCATTCTGCCTGAGAACTAACATTTGGAAACCTTGAGGAAATTCAGCTAAAATTCAAGAGAGTATTCTGATTTAGATTGGATTTACAGTTGTATCCTTCATGATGTACTTCTTTAAAATGACTTCACAATAATTGTATATAACAATTCTGAAACATTGCAATAATTTTCAATACATACTTCCTGGGAAGTTCTGCAAATCCCCACATCTTAAATTTGCCAAATCATGCTTTTATATTGTGGTTTATAAAGTTGCCTATCTCACCAGAAGTGACTGCGACATCCAAAAATCAAATAAAACCACAATATAAAAGCATTCATTATAATATAGAAAATATAAATATAAAATATAAACAATAATGATTAAAAATAGAAAATCATCCAAAAGTGAAGTATACAAACCACAAACAGAAAAAAAAATATAACAACCACATTTCACCCATTATAAGGAAACTACCTTAAAATGTCACTGGTTCTCTAGGACCCCCAAACCCCTTGTCATAGCCAACCTTAAGGGCCCTTCTTGAATATTAACAGTGATGAAGGAAACCAAAATTTGAAGGGAAAATATTCCATAAGGTGGGTGATCCCTACTCTGCCTCCTGGCAGCATCAGATGTAGCTCCCTCATAGATTCAAGTTTGAAAAAGTCAGATACTCTGTCCTTTTGTCATTCTGATAATTTATTTTACTAAATCAGCAGGCTTTGAGAAAGGCTGGCACAATTAATTACATGAGTGTGTTTAGGGGGTGTCTCTCTTATTCTTGCACACATTTCATGGTGCAGGGGCAATCAGTGGAATGCAGCAATGTCCCTATCACATTCCAAGTTTGCATAATTATTAACTGTTTAGCACATTCTTTTAATGGTTTGTACGCCATTTCACAGATACATAAAAGGGTGCTATTTTCTATTGCTTTTTGTTGATTAGCTATGAACTCTGATAAATGTAATTGACCCTACATCATGTTTACTATAAAGTCTGATTTAAAATAGCTTAATTTCTTTTATTCTAGGTCTGAGTGGCAGAGTACATAGCTTGCCAGATGTCACCAGTAAGTTGCTTTTTTCATGGCCATGTACAAATTCTTTAGACCTTAAAATAGTGTTGTCCTTTTGAAAGAATCTTGAAAATTGAGTCTCTTACTATTCCAGATTTCAGACATTGAGTCTGTGCTGTAGGCAGGAATTCATCCATTCAATACAAACAAACAAAAAACCCCAAAACCCTAGAAATGGGCATGAGATGTTGATGTCCTGAGTAGAAATGGGACAAAAACTGTAACATTGCCTTTGAGTTGATGATTTAAACAGACACATCAGTTCAAATTTTTTTGGCATGATACAGAAGTGATTTGCCATTAGTCACTTCCAAGATGTAGCTTGCTAATGCAAAACAGGACTTTAAGGAAACGGTGCTCTTTTAAGAAAATAGCTTTGGGGGGGGGGGGGGGGAACCATTTGAGAATTGGACCAAAAGGCCATTCCATTCACAGCAATTGAAGTGTGAAGTATTAATTCCTTGATTGAGATTGTTCCATGTCTTTGTTCCTAATTTCTTAAGTGTGTCATCATAAACATATTGTTTAAGCTGTTATTGCATCATTACCTGTTGGTTCTGAGATCTGATCTGTGTTTTAAGTTTTCTTGTTTTATTTTAAATTGCTTCATCTTCCTTGCAGTTTAGTTCAGTTTTGTTCAGCAAATGATTCATTTCATTTTTCTCCCTTTTTTCCATTCAGAGTTTTCATTAAATTTCTTCCTTTCTCTTAATTTCTCATTCCTCCCTACCCCCCAAAGCAACCCCAACATATTATTTGGGAATCAGTTCTCTTTCTGGAGTTCCTTCCATTTAACCAGAAATCTTTTACTCATCAACTGGCTACAATGGTTTTCCAGAGAACACTGTGGTTTAACATGTCTTCAAATTATGTCCTCAAACAACCTAGGTACAGGCACTTTCTGGTCAAACAATCAAAAGTCACAGAAGTATAGCTTAAAATTCCTAAACATATTTCAATGAATCTTGGCAGGATGCATTCCCTCATGCACTTTAATGTGTCTGAAAAAATCCAAGTCTATTATAAGATAAAATTTAGAGCTGTTTATGTTGTTCCATACTTGCCAAGGGAACAAAAAATAGCTCAATTTCTGAATCTCATTTTGGATTTGTCTCAAAGTAGATAGACTGACTCCAATTGAGCCCTGGTCAAACTGAGACAAATCTCTCAATGGAATCCTGTGGTCTGTTGTGGATCACTATAAGTGGTCAGAAAACTATACAGTATATACAATCACCTTGGGGAATGTCCTGTTTTTTTCTGATAAAATTTCAACATTTAACATCATTAATTTTAGATGATAATGTGCAACATTAAATTTTAACATTAATTACAATCCATAAAGAGTCACCCTATAATATAACCAGTCGCTGTGAATATCATGTGTCAATACTATCATGAGATGTAAGGGCCTCTTTATGGGTAGAGTTTAATGAATACTAATAAGAAGTGGTATCACCAAGAAGATCTCATGTGATTATTACAGTGGTCTGACTAATCTACAGTGGGAGAAAATGATATCCCAGGTATCCTGCCTTCCCAATTGCTTTCATTTGTCAGCCTAACTAGCCAACAGCAAGGACAAGTGCTTTCAACAGTGTCTTTATATGAGAATACTTTTCACTAGCTGTTGCTTGAAGGGCAATTGTAAGAAGGGCATTCATGGAGCAGATGACAGTAAATGAGAAGTAAAACTATTATTAGGAATGCATATACAGCAATATCAGTTTCTAAATCAGTGAAATGAGGATGGCAGCAATTGAACCTGACATCTTCTGGAATGTAAAATGTGGTCTGTAACTGAGCTGTAGCCCCTCTGATCAACATACGTTTGTTTGCATATATGTATGTGTCTTTCTTATCCAGGTGATTATCACTTGTACAGGAACAATGAGAGTGAGGAAGGGGAAACAAGTGATGATGTGGATGGAGCAGAATCTGAGTCTTACGCCAGGGTAAGTATAATTCATGCAATTTTTTTTCCATGCATGTTTTACACAACGTGTAACTTCATTGTTAAATCATATCACCCTTTCTTTTCCTCACTGCGCCCCCCCCCCCCTTGAGATTATCTGAGAAAAGGTGCTTCTTTTTACTGTAGCTTTCTGACAAATCTCTCTTGGTTTTGAACAGTCCAAACAGGAGTCCTAGTAACTCCGATACATTTCCAGAAATGTGCTCGTGCATGTCTGGATTCTCAAGGAAAGAATCTTTCTGGATTCTCAAGGAAAGAATATTTTTTTTTATTACTCACCTACAGTCCTGATATTCCCAGGTTTAAGCAATGCTTCTTGCAGTTTAATCTCCTGAGTTAAGATCAACCAGGTGTAACCACCTGCAGAGGCCTGATGAAAATGAGGAATATCTTGGCTGAGGCCTTTCTAGTTGAGAGTGCTACTATCACACAGTAAATATCAGGAGGGATGTTATCCTTTATTGAAGATCATGTGAAATGTAATACCTTGTATTTGCGGTGAAATTTTAAATCTTTCACTTTTTGTGCTTCCTAAGATGCGCAAGAAAAAGCGCCTACTTTCTGTACATTCCTTTGATTTTGAAACCGACTCAGAATATTCTTCCCAATCTCGCCGTCAATCTGTCCAGCTTTCTCCATGTCCTGGGAAAGAAGACTTTCAGGTATTAGGGATCTGGTGGTGGTCTGAATCTATGGTCCTTTCCTCTTCTTTCCGTTTATTTTCTATTCATTGTATTTCGTTAGTCCAATGTGTAGCCTGTTTTTAATGTGAGAAATGTATTGAAACTAAGGCTGTTGAAAATCTATTGAGATGCTTGGGGCTCTTGGCTTTTTTCAGAAAAAATCAAAATGTTCAATGTGGTCAGCAGCATGAGTCTCTCAACAGAAACTATTTCTTTGCAGCACCTCCTGGAATGAGCATCTGATCTCATTAACTGATTCTTTCATGATGAGAGAACATAACTTGGGTTTGTAGCTTCTTAGGGAAGGTTTGCTACCTTTGGCATCTTGGATGAGTTCAGTTTTGCTACATTTTCAGAATTTAGGTAGACATGGGTTGAATTTCTGTCAAATATGAAAAAATTTGGCTTGAGAGCCAACTTTCAGTTTTAAGGTAGTCTTTACCCATTTCATTCACTTTGACCAGGTTCTACCATGTCTATGCCTCATGAAAATGTATTTGCATGTTTTTGACACACAAGGAGTATTACACCACAACTGATTAAAGCTAGATGGTAATGCTCTTGGATTAAGAAGTTGTTGGAAAAGAACAATTGTAAGTGTGCAAATGAGAGACTATGTAGCCTGCTTATTAATACCAACAGATGATTCTTCTTAGAGCACTGAAGATTTTCCAAATGGTGAGGAAGCCTCCATGCAGAAGGACTCCATGGTAGCAGAAGCAGACTTGGCTGCAGTTTTCCATCATATCTTGCAAGAGCAAGGGAAGCACACGGCTCTTCCAGAACAGGAATTCAGCACAGAAGTCCAGTTTATAGGCAACTCACATAACAAAAACCTGGAAACAATCCCCAAGGCTGGTAGGTGCTTCCAGCATTAGAGGGAATTTTAAATTGCTAGTGTTAGAGGCAGAATCCTGTATTTTCTGGACAGTTCAAACTTTGAGAAATATATCATCTTTTGTTTACATGCAGACATCTTGTATTTCTTTCATAATTCACAGAAAGATGTTCCATCATTAACAGTTTTTTTAGAGTCTTTCCAACAAAATAAAAATGGGCATACAAATGACTAATTGAAGTTTTAAAACTCCAGGTATTTTTACATTGCAACTTATTCTCTGTTATGGTAGAACAGTTGGCCAAAACCATAGAGAGAAAGTATTTCTTCAATACTCAAAAGTGGTTGATGTGGAATTCAGCAATAGCAAATAGAAAGATGCAAAAAGGGCAAAATAAACAGAGGAAAAATATAAATGTATCTATTCATATACATATATACGAGAAAACATTTGGTTTCAAAATTACAATTATAAGTGATCCATTTAGTTGCCAAGTTAATTTGACTGGGAGTAATTTATGGAATGAAAATAAATGAACTACCGGTATCTACAGCCGTCAAATGCAGCTCTCCATGTCACAACAAATATTACAACTCATTCTTTTTTAGCTCAGCCTATTGTCCAGGGTTGTGGTTACAGGGACAGATTGGAAGATGGAATGTTATATATGCCAGATTGAATTCCTGATATATTTTTTTTAAAGTATGATCCAATTAAAAAAATGTGGGTGTTCTGCTTGCAGAGAAGGAATAGAAATCCTTCCCAGGCTGAGAAGCATTTGTTTTTTGCACTTCTAGCTTTATTCATATACTGCAGATTTTCAAAAGTGATGAGCTTGTTACTACTACTTTTTCCTATCAGCTATTCTGCAATATTATTGGGAAAATTCTGTTCAGATATAGTTTTCCATATCTGTAGCAGGCTTTCCTACTGAAGACAGTCTCAGTTGGCCCATTGTGTTTTTAACTGGACATGGGTAATGGATGCCTAAATCTGAATGCATCGTGATTCATGACAAAGGCAGATGGTAAAATATAATTGTTTTGATGTACCTCTCCATATCATAGAACAGGACAGAAACATTTTTTTATTTTCACACTGATGACTACATTGTAGAGTTTTAGGGGATTAAATTTCCTATATAATAGGTACAATCTAGTTATGTTCCAAGTCTTTGCTGTGTCAGAGGCTTTAGTGTTTTACCAGTACTATAAATATCTAGGAAATGAAATTATCAGAAACCAAGTTATCCCTAATGTTGTTATTTTTAACAAGGTGACAAACATGGGAAAGTGCATGAGCAGTGATCAGCCATCTGCTTTTCCTTGGGTTGCAAATAATGTCTTTTTAATTTGCTATAGGTTTTTTTTAACCTACGGGTGGTTTGGATGACTGAGATGCTGAAAACTAGCTACAAACCTAGATTAGGGAATAAAGAGGCAAACCTCCAACTTTCTAACAAAAACTTTCCAATTTAGCTTCAGAGATTGAAAAAATATATGAGATAACTCATATTGAGTTCAAGTATTTGGAGACCCTGGCACAAACAGATTGCTTGGACAGTTCATGTCAGTCTGCTGTAAATTCCTGTCTCATCATAGGATATTTGAGAAGTAAACTAGGGAAGGAAGAAGCTACAGCTCAAAGAATAAGTTTTGCATGCTGAATAAAATAGATTCTAGCTTTTGTGTCTTCTGCACCTTGCTTAGATGGATCACTGATCACACTCAGTAAAAGATAGTATCATATATTCAAAGTATCCTTAAGACTGGGACTCAAAATCGATATGCCCTTATTTGCCTGATACTTCATGGTGCATGTTTTCAAACATGCAAATGAATCACTACAGAGCCCCACACAAAGAGAGCTAAACAGAAATGGCCATTCAAAATTCTCCATCAAGTTTATGGGCATAGAAATTAGGTGGGGGATTACTGCTATTTTCTTCCAGAAAAGAAGTTATTGAATGCAAGATTCTGATAGTGGTAAAAATATCGCTGCTGTTGAAACTTACAATTTCTTCCATTTGAATTTAATTTAAGCATGGGAATCTGGGGAGCCTGCAGGCAAATAAGAGAGGATTGTATAGTAAAAGATAATATATTCATATCCACAAACACACATATACATCCTGACCACTCTATAATTAAATAACAACCCCAGATTCCACCTTGGAACATTTATCTAAAACTATTTTTTTTCCTCAGAGTATTTCTGAAGCAAATTCTCTTTCATCATACAAACCATAAGAACTGGTAGGAAGAAAATGCAGATTTGTTTTTCTATTCCAGAGTACAGTCCCTTCTCCCCCACTTTTTCATATTCTTTGTGATATCCATAATAACTTAAATATTTTTGTTTATTACATTTGTTTGTGGTCCATCTCGCTGCAAGATTACTCTGGGTGGCTTACAAGGTTAAAAACAATAAAAATATATACATACATAGTAGCTATACAGATATAAATTATGATTAAAATTATGGTAAAAAGATGGGGAGGGAAGAAACAGGGTGCGCATGGGGTGAGGCGAGATCTGCTATTGGTCCATAAACAAGCTTCACATGATATTCCCTCATGGGGGCCTCAAGCCTTTACTCAGCCAACACACACAATACCTGTCAATTGGTTCTGCCTTCTTGGAATCCCCATCCTAAGTATTGTACTTTTACTGTGGGCTTGTCAACCAGCTCTGAGTTCAGGGAACATCTTCCCATACATAATTACTTTAACCTCTGAGTAAATATTATTCATCGGGCTACTTTTGTTTACCACTGATGTCCATCACTGGGCCACGCTCTGAAATTACACTTTTGAATTATCCCAGTTAGCAGCTGGATTTATCAGTCACTTCTTCTTTCCATGAATATCTCCTGCTAACTACCAGTACCCTGCATTTATTTGATTTACATTTCTTGTTTGTTTTTTTTAATTATCTCAAACAGCACCAGACTACAAGCTCATAGAGCGCACCTCTTTGAACTGTAAGCATAACGTTTAAGAATCACAAATTTAACTCTTGTTTCTTAACTTAGCTGATTAACAAATAATATTGAGCATTTGAAGTTTGGGAAATAATTACAAAGCTCAGTGTCTTATGGGAAGAAAAAGGGAAAAAGAAAGGAGAGAGGAAAGAAGGGGATGAGGAAAAGTCTTAAAGAGATTTTTCTGAAAGGAAGGAGCTTCTGCATTTTGATGTTGGGTTCCCACTACTGGTAATGATTCAGTCTCTCAGAGGTTGGGCCAGGTAGAAAAGAGGTGTGGCGAAAATGGGAAACAATGGGGACAGCTTGTTTCAGGAGACCAGGTATTTTCTTGCTGTCCCTTTCCAAGCTTTTGTTCCTTTCTATTTTAACTGCCCCCAATGCTCCACTTCATATTGGTTTCTCTATCCTTTGCCCATGGAGTAATCTTTTGCCTTACTCTTTCACAACTCATCCTTCTCTTGGCTTCACAAGTCATATTTTTCTGCATTTTTCATGTAGCTGTTTCTTGCTTTAGTTAATTAGTATTTGGTTGTAGATCTGTAAAAACTAAAGAAATCAGGAGGGGCAAGAAAATCTATGGATCCCATGTAAAGTTATGTCAAAGCAAAAAACAAACAAACCAAAAAAGTGCTTTTGATATCAGTTCTTCCATTGTATATATCATTATCTGCTCTTTTCAATCTGATTTCATTGCTGACTTTTCCACTGCATTTATATAATATTTCCTTTGATTTGACTCCAAGAGGAATTACATGAGTAACAGAATCATTTGGATTAACCTGTCCCAATATATAACATACTATTCTGCTCCAGTCCCCAAATTTATTAATTTGGAAGAATTGTGTCCGCTTGACTTGAAAATAACCTAATCACCATGTGCCCTTGTAAAAATTCTAATATGAAAGCTAGCTACATATCAAGAAAGTAGATCTTACTCTGCCTCTCAAATTCATTTCCATTGCCCTGTGTTGCCATCAATCTGTGAATCAATGCTTAATTTATAATTTGCAGGATGGATACCAAACAATGGGAACATAGCAGAAGTTGCCAGGAGGTTAATATATATTAAAAAAAGATTCATTAAGGAATTGTCCCTGCATCAAAGACCATTAGAGCATCAGATGAATACAGCCCTAAACAGCCAGTAAGCCTAAAGGGCATGAACACAACTAACAAGGAAGCTGGAAAAAAAGAAGTAAATCTTACAGCTCTTCCCCCTGCACCCCTGCTCTTTGGAATCCTGACTTTAGTTCTAGAGTAACTAGCAAGGGGAAATTGTGTAATTTCACCCATTGGGGAGAGGAGATTACAAGAAAGATAGCAAACATAACAATAGGGAACACACATTGAAAGGAAAACCTTAGCATCATTTGTTGGCTTAGCTTACTAGCCAGTTTGACCCTTGAGCAACTAGGAAGCAAAAGAAAATCTTTAGAGCCAAACGGATTAGGGTCTTGCCAGTTTCAGATAACAGGGCCAGCTAAGAGAGGATGCTAATCAAATAAGGTCACAAATAAGGTTTACAACACTGCCTTTATTAATTGTACTCCAATTAAAATGTATAGCTAAAACATTTCTCTCAATCTTAGCATCTGTAATGGGTAAAAAGCATTTCTTCTCAATTGCTTAAGGTTTGCAGAGATTTTTTCCCCCCTTATGGTGCCTAAAAGCCACTGTTGACTCCTGGCAGTTGCCCAGGCCAAGTGCCTGCAGTTTTCTTGGCAAAATTTTTGGAAGTGGTTTGACCTTGCCTCCTTTCTTAAGGTTTAGTGAAACAGACTGGCCTGAATTCACTCAACTGTTTTTCTGTTTCATGTGCATATATTTTTTTCTTAATTTGCATCATGGTTTGAGTTGGTAAAAAAAAAAAAAACCTGAATCTTACAATACCAGTTTAAGAATATTTTAAATCTCACTTGAGCCCTATAATACCATAAAGTGCTTTTGCTGATTTTTCTCTATTGTCTTCATTCCCCTCTTTTACCTCAAATTCTTGTGAAAACACAAAATGTTACTAGTGAATCAGGTAATTATTGATCTGATCACCAAATTGTCCAATCCTCTTCTGTTCCCAAAGGCAGCCCATGGAATATGCAGCCCCAACTCCAGTACTCAGCTAAGGTGGATGATGAAGATGAAAAAGAGGCTCAAGAAACGTTCATCTATCAGCCACGGTACACAAAACACAGGAGCACAGCATCTTCACAAGGAAATGGAAATCAGGTAAATTAGATATTGGATAGCTTCTGTGCTTAGTTATATCCTATATTTTTCTCTTTTGGAGAATTTGTTTTGGGAACTATAATAAAACTCAAATCAAAATAAAAGGACACCAAAGTGAAGAAAATAGGGAATAATATAATGAAACAATTACAGATAGAAGTATACAGGTAGTCCTCAAGTTAAAACCACAATTGGGACCAGTATTTCCATTGTTAAGCAAAGTGGTTGTTAAGTGAATTGTGCCCAGTTTTATTACCTTTTTTGCAACACTTGTTAAGCAAAGCTGATGAATATTATTTTAGTGACTGGAAATGGGAAAGATTTAAGGAACCCTAGTTGAAGGTGAGAGACAAAGCATAAAAATCAATCTGATGATCAGTATTACATAATAAACCCAATTTTATCAACTCAGTTCGATGCAAATACAAGTACTCCTTGACTTATGACAGGTTGTTTAGCAACTGTTCAAAGTTACAAAGGCCACACAGACAGGCCATGGTCATTTGATCAAGTTTTAGGTCCTTGGCAACTGTCTCACTTTTATGGCCATTTGCAACTGTCTCACTTTTATGGCCATTTGCAACTTTCCATATATATATATTTTGTCAGTTTCTGGCATTTACTTCCAGTTTCTGGCCAAAAATACCCAATGGGAAATATTAATTTGTTTAACAGGCACTCCAAAAATTGTCAAAAAATTACATGTGATACCTTGACATGAAGCCACAATGTCTTACAGAACATAATTCTGGGCTCAGTTATGGTTGTAAGTTGAAGAATATCTGTACAATAATTGTAAAAGTAGTGGAATTAGTAACAAATTTTATCGAACTGAGCTCAAAAATTGAAAGGGAAGTGAACCATAGGCATGAAATAAAGTGACATTTATTTATTGGAGAAATACAGACAAAATTTATGTGTACAGATATTACATTGCCAACAAAGATATTTATTACCAAGGCCATGATTGTTTTCTCAGCATACTTATTCAATATTATTTTATAATATTTTTCATGTATGGAAAAATGTTGAAATACTATTAGCTCTTGATTTATAGCAGACTTGTGACCTTCCCTGCTGGTTTCCTTATTGATTTTCTGAAGAAACCGACAGGGAAGACTGCAAATGGCAATCATGTGCATCTGTTCTGATGCTGCAACTGATCATAAGTATGAACTGGTTGCCAAGAACCCAGACTATGATCACATGACCATGAAGTTGCTGGGATGGACAGAACTCCAAGGACTAGTCGTAACCGTCAATTGTCTGGTGGTGTAACTTTGAGCTGTCGCCAAACATAGCTCAAGGACTATCTATATAAAAATTCATTGGTTGAGACCAAGCCATTGTTTTATGGACAATGCTAACAGAAAGTATGTTTCTCAGCCACATAAAGAATTAAATAATTTCTGTTGCTTCTATTCACCACTCAGATGACAAAACTTTTATATGTTCAGAGACAGTTCATAGATTGAAATGGGTACAAGCTATAAAATATTCCATCAGTCTTAATGTTAATCTCATTCTTTGGTATGCAGGTATTTGTTGAATTTTAATGACAACCCATACCTATATTGTAATTAATCTGCAAGGATAGATTTAATTGATCAATAAAACCACAAGGTACAAAATAAATCTAGTATTTTATTGAAACTACAGGAAATCATCTACTTTCATTCTGAATACAATCCAAATTATAAATGTGTATATATTTTTCTTTTTAATCTTTAATAAAGTTTATTTTTTAATATTTTTTTTAAAAAGACATGAGATATAGAGTAGGTTTGTAAACTAACTTTTGGAGTCAGTATACATTTAAGTCAATACTATCACAATGTTTTGGAACGAATGCAGCTCATATTTTCCATTGTTATTTTCCATTGTTAAATTAGATTTACAAGTTCTGTAAGGAATAGTGCCTTGTGTAATATTATGCAATGTTCATTCATTTGCCCCCTCATGAATCGTAGCTTGCATATGTTAAGATTTCAGAAGTTACAGCTGGTTCAGAATGTGACTGCATAAGCTGTTTAGGGGTACACATCATTATTCTAGAGTAATACTTACATGTCCAAGGCTACACCAATTACTAGTTTTCCAGGATCAGTTCAATGTGCTGGTTATCATATATGAAGCTCTAGATCACGGGTGTCAAACTGGCGGCCCATCAGCCAGATGCGTCACGTGCAGGCCACACCACATCCCAGTTCTGCAAATAGGGAAAACGTTGCAAAATGTCATGTGATGGCAACATGATGCTGCAAGTTTGAAACCCATTTCTAGATTGTTCAGAGCTTGGTTTTCTATGGGATCATCTTTCTTCCACTGCCAATGCCTATAAGCCTATAAGTCCTGGCAGGGTAATCCGTGCCATCTTGTGGGATCCTGGAGTCCTTCTGGAATACCTTTCCCTCTGAGGTCCATTCAACCCTATCCTGCTTTGCTTTAGAAAGTCATTGAAAATTTGACTTTTCAAAAATGATACGAGCTGAGGTATTTCGTAATTCTGCCAAATCATGACTGGTGAGGTATGGCTGAAATTATTTTTATGTGCTTTTCCATAGTGATTTTTCTTTTCATTTCTGTATGTTTTATGTGCTTTTTCATTTCATTTCTATGTGTTTTTTCATTTATGAATGTTTTATTGAGTTTTAAATATAAGTTGCCTTGTCTCTTTCTGATTTGGAACCCTATCAGTCAAACAAATAAATCAATAAAAAGAGGTCAGTAAAATGAGAACTCCATTTCTAACTCTTAATCTAGCACTACTAGCAAATTCTATTCTGGAACTAACAGGTTTACCAAATCCCACCTTTGTTCTTTTCTAGTCATAAAAATACACCATATTTCATTTTCTTTTCCTCCTTTTTTCCCACAAGTCCATGAATTTTTATAGAAATGCTCATTTGATAGAAGCCATTAATTTTAAAGTGTGTGTAGTTTTCTCCATGTGGCCTACTATGGAGAGAGCATCTTGAATAGGAGCATGATTTTGGACAAGAAAAGTGGACCCTCTTAAAAAAAATATTTCCTCCCCCAGTTATAATACAGTAGCTCATAAAGATTGGTTATTAAGCATTCACATGTTTTATTTAATCAGATTAGGAAATTCATTTCTCCTAGGAAGGGAAAAGAAAAAAAATTCTCTACACAGAGCTATGAAACAACTTTGAGGGAAATCTTATTTTAATAAAAACTGAGCAAAAAAAAATCATAATTCAATTTTTTTATTCTGTGGCTTGAAAATCTCCTGAGATTAGTTGTCATATATTTTAAGCATTATTTGGTTTAAATAGCCGACTGAATGAGAACATGTTTTTGACATGAACATCATTGCACTGAAATATGAAAAGTTCTAAGATGGAACTTACAAAGTATGACCTTTTCATAAATTTATTTGAGCAGGCTAGCTGTGATAGAGATGACTGTGGAGAAAATGCTTCAGTCAGAATCAAGCTTCTATTACATACTTAATGTACCTCATAATTTAGATTTATGAGGAAAAAAACAACTTTGTTTTTAGCTGCAGAGATATAGATGCTAAGATCTAATGAATTGGGTTGAGATACAGCTATAATTCTATTGTTCCTGCTCCTTATAATGTTATTAGTCCTCATAATGTGTTTAGTGTTTAGGTGTATGTAACCGTATTATTCACCATGTTCATCATTTAGCTAAAAGTACCACAGGCAATTTTGCACTCCAGATGTTCATCAAGGCCCCTCAACCTATTCAAAACATTCCAGATTGAAGTGAAAGAAGAACCTAAGAACTAATGTTCATGGTTTCAGTTAGAGATGCATAACAAACATTTGTCTGATTTTTCTCCAGCCTAACAGAATCCCTCAGTTGGGTGAGTGGTGGACTTCCAGGGAATTGGTATTTGCAGGTACTCATAGCTCACCCATTGTGGGAGACTTGTTATTGAGTATCTCATCCTTAAGGAAGAAATAATAACTTCTTGTGTTATTGGCAATCTTTATGACATTCAGTCATTCTGAGCACGTTCCACTTACCACAGCAGAATAGTTCCATTTCTCCAACTATCAGTGTGAGTTCTCCCAATCAGAAAAGAGGAAAAGCAGTCCCTGTCATGAAAGACAAACCTCTTTCCTAATTCACGTTTGATTTTAAAATTAAATCTTTAAATCTTTAATTAAATTTTTGGTTTTTGCATCTGGATGACTAAAATTAACCGGGTGGTTGTTTAAAAGTCTTTAAAATGGTATCACTCTTAGAAGAACTGAAAATGGAACTTAAAAAATGGAAAGAAGATGCACAAGAAGGGAGAGGTTCTTTTGGCTTCGTATTTTAATTCTTAGAAATGGAGATCTGGAACTATGAGAAACAACAAGAAACGCTTGCAGAACAAGAAGATTGGGACAAAGAAGAAGCCATCTTTAATGATCAAATAATTTTAAGTGGGGGGGGGGGAGAAAAGGGGGGAAAGAGAGTGAAAAGTTTAAGACTAGAAAAAACAACCAAAAAGAAGAAGAAGAATTTGAAAGATAAGTATAATATTAGAAAGCAACAGATGAGAGAATTAGAAGTAGAGAGACGAGGGGGTAAAAAGGGGAGGGAGAAGAAGAGGGGGAAGAAGGCAAGGAAAAGAAGTTGTAAAAGACAGAAACAAGAAATGGAGAAACAGGGAAAAGATATAAGGATTGTAACCATAAGCTTGTTTAGAGATAATGGGTGAAAATTTAATTGCAAAAGGGATTCTGCAAAGGTACATAAGATAGCATTGTTATATTATAAACAGAAATAATTTTAGAAAATATGATTAAAATGATGGATAAAATATTTACTGTAATGTAGTTGAATGTTTGGTAATAAATGAATTAAAATGATTGAGAGAATTAAATGGGAACATTTTTAATTATTAGTAATGATTTATAAAAATATAAGTGAGAAATATGGGGAAAAAAAGAATTAACTATGGAAAGTTTATAAGTGTTCCCAAGGAAGTATGATATTTAATTGAAAAGAAATGTTAAAGATGTTAAGATTTTAATGAATATTAATGATAGAATTGAATTGGAATGGAATGTGTGCTTTATTTACATATATATATATATAATTTTTTCTTTTTAAGAATATAGTGTGTATTTTAAGAATGTACCAAGCAGAATTCGATTGGAAGTTATGTATTATATTGAATGCTATAATCTTAAAGGTATACATTGAAGCTTAAATAAGAGTTTGAATGGATAAAATTAAAAGATATAAAGGTGTCATACTCCGATTGGTAACTACGGGGAAAAATTTGTTTAATAAGAAAAGATAATATGAAATTGAAACAGGACAGACAAAAGTATAAATATAATGATTTGATTGAGATGAGATAATTAAAATAAAGTTCAGAAAATTAAAAGAGGGGAAAAACTACGTAGAAAATATAAAACGGTAATAAGATATGGAATAGAATATAAAAATGAGCATGAAATTGAGTTTGGTGTCTGTATGAAGAAGTGATAACCTGGGACCATGCTATTTTCAAAAAAGATGTTTTATTTGTATTTTGTTTTTGTGAAAACCCAAATAAAACTTTCAAAATAAATAAATAAATAAATCTGTTAACCTTCCATTTTATAAATCTGTGTGAAGACCTGAGATCATGGTGTAAGATTAGCTTGACTTGATGTAAAACATCAGCTCTATAAACAATAATTATTTGATATTAAAGTGTAAATATAGCCTTAATGGATTTTGCCAGTAGTGTCAGCTAAATATCAAAAGTTGTTCATTGGAGTTTGTAGAGCAAGTCACAAGATACAAAGCTGCCTTGTTACTTGACAAGTGAGGATGTTATTTCCTTCAAAGGAGAGGTCTTAATTCAGAGGTCATGTACAAAAAACAAAATGGGAGATACATTTAAATGTGTATCTTAAGTATATACAGCCTTCCTCCTTGACAGTTATTTAATTGTTACATTCTGTTATTGTTAATTATTATTATAATGTTCCAGCATTTTCTAAAATGTTTTTTTTTCTATTCAGTGAAATCATGATCTTTAGTCCATCAAGGTTATGAGAGCTCGTATTGCTCTGTATTTGTTTATTTCTCCTTTAACTGCTAAGAAAAATTGTGGTGGTGGGCACTGTCCTTTGCTATCTTCTTTCTTCTCTCTTTAGATACTTGAACTGAACAAACGCATCTCTGTTATTGAAAGTATGCTCAGCTCTCTTGAGGAAAAGATTCTAGTTCACTCTGAGAAGGTAAAATCAAGAACTGTGTTATACATACGCCCAGGTTGCCATTTACTCAGCTATGCTCAATCAGCCTGATCTGTCCGCAGGGTTATTTCAGGCATTCTGGGTTGCTCTTTAATGCCAAACTGCTCTTTATTCCTAGCAGTGCTTCAGCACCTTGCCCACTTAATTAGTGCAGCAGCCTCAGGACAATTGTCTAGTTCTATCTTTCTCTGAAGAGCCCAGGACCAATATTCCTCAGTGCTGCTCACAGGCTTAACTAATTCTTTCAGTTTTTAAACTGGAAAAGTAAGATGTTTTTATAGTATAAATAGAACATATCACCAGGGGCGGAGACAAGAGGTTCCAAATGTAAATAGGTGCTTAACCCACTAAGATTTTCTGCCTCATTATGGGTCTTTCATTTAAAGTAGATGAGAGAGAAATACTGTACATTACTAGACTTCATTGTACCATTTCTGCTGTTCATAGGAATGGATGTCTCGGTATCTTGTGTAGTTAAGACAGTAATCCAAACATTCATGGAGGGAAATTGATTAGTTAATTCCTACCGCATGATGAGATTTAGGTTTCCTTAATCCCATGTTAAAAAGATGCACATTGTGTAGACTTGGAATAAGCCAGCTAGAACATACGATTGAGAATGACTTACTTTTATTTCACTAGCCTCTAGATATTGATTCCTACATTGATCGTAGCACAGAAGAGAAGGAACTGAGGAGAAAATTAGAAGAATTGACAAGTAGCATAACTGAAAAAGTTGTTTCTATTGATGAAGAAAATGCAGGAAAGAAGACTGAAGAATCCAAACCAGAAATGGACTCATCCAGTGATGACCTTCCTCCTGATGCGAAGAAGGTATTGTCCTCTGTTTCTTTATCCTCCTTTCAACAAACTCTGTTCAGGCAACCACCTTGTAATGTGACCTATTTTCCTGTATTCTTTGACACCTCATCAACAAAGGTATCTATGTGTTCAGTGAGGATGTGTGGACCAAAAAAGCATGAAGACTTCCATTTAAACTTTAAAAAGATAACATTAGGATTTGAAAAGACATATAGCTGTATTATGGTGAAGGGTTTTTTGATGCAGATATTCTTGCTGAACATGGGGCTCTCTTTGTATATTAGATCTCACAAGTTTAACTTTGAGGAATAGGGCTCAGCCCTATTGTGTCTGTGCTTGATATTAAGCCTTCTTGTAATGTGTTCGAGTTTATGTGTTTTGCTTGAAGAATAACCAGCTTGCTTTGATTGTATAATTCAGCTAACTGTGGCAATCTCAGTGTGGACTACATATGTTACTAACAACAATTGAAACATTTCATTTAATTTTTTTGTTATAATAAATTTTATTAAAAGTTTTTAAAAAAATAAAAATTAACACAAACTAATGCAAAATAGAACAAAGAAAGAAAAGAGAAAGAAGAAAAACGAGAAAACAAAAATGCAGTGAGAAAGAATAAAAAGAAACAGAACTAAGCTTCCAAGTTCCTCTGCTGCAACTATATGTTTGATTACAAAATTATATCTTAGTCTATGATTACCAAAAAAAACCCTCTTTTTTTCTTTTTTCTTTTTCACTTTTTTCCAGTCATTAAACCCACAAGTCATAAGTGCATCTTTTCTGCAAATAGTCTATAAGGGATTTTAATTCAATCCTAGATGTAGAGAATGCTGTTTTTCTATCAAAAGAAGTTAATTTAACCATCTTTCCATCAACTTAACCAACCGTTCCTCCATTGCAGATAGACCTTTCCACTTTTGAACATATAATCATCTTGTAGCTGACATATATAGAAACAAAGTTTCATGACTTTTTGTAGTTGCCTGTCCATTAGTCTCAAAAGCAAAGTCTCTGTTTTCAGTGGAACTTTAATTTTTAAACCTTCTGAATTTTTGGAAATATTTGTATCAAAAAAGTTTGGCTTTTTTACATATCCATCAAACATAATAAAATTTCCCTTCATGTTGTTCACATTTTCAACAAAGATTCAAAGCACCTTCAAAGGTTAGAACACAATGTACATTTCAAACCTTTCAGTCATATGTTTCCCATTGTTCCATTTATATATTTTAACTAAAGTTTTTAGCCCATTTTTAACATATATTCTTTCATTTATTCTTCTTTGTATTTATTCCATACTCTGAGAATGGCCTGCTTGACATACTGATTTTTATCTACATTCACCTTAGCTTTGTCATATAATAAATGTCCTTGCCACCCAAATCTTAAATCATGTCCTTCTTACTTCAATAACCTTCTATTCCTTAATACACATTCCTTTATCCAAACTAAATATCAGATAGCAAAATATAATTTCAAATCTCCTAGACCAACTTTCCTTTGCATCTGTATGCATGTACTTTACATTTAATTTGGGTTTTCCCACCTGCCTATAATGCACTCATTTGTGTGTCTATTCAATATTTCAAGAACTAAAATATCATTTAAAAAACTTTCTTGTATCTATTCTTAATTGTTTGCATATAGTTCTTAAATCTAAATCTCCCTTGTTGGGTTGTTGGTTTTCTTGTAATCTCGTAAAAAGATTTAACTCACTGCAAAACTTGATCTTCGCTACAGAAGAAATATTTCTTCATCTGTAATTGATTACTTCCTGAAATGATTAAGAACAGGGGGAAAGCAAGATTTTAATGTCAATTTCTGCTCTAATGCAGTTATAGGTTTCCCAGCATCTCAGCTCCTGGAATGATTGCAATTTTCCCCCCAGTTCTTCAATTAGGTCCATAGCACACTTAGTTTATCTCATCCTCTTTGATTCAGGAAGATTGTGCTGTGTAGAATACACATCCTAGCGAGAGTTCTCGGCTGTGGTTGCTGTCCTTGCACCAGCCCGCTATTATTCCCCATCAGAAACTTCAAAAATTCATTTTATTTGAATCACCATGTATACAATATCTATTTTTTTGTGTTCCATTGATACATAACAAACAAAATTTAACATTGAGAAATCCATGATAAATTATCCTGCTCTTTACTTTGTAAAATTTAATAGCAGCCAAGAATGCTCAGGGGATGTATTTTAAGTTGTTCCCCTTTGTTTCTTTAGCTGTGAAATTGTTCATTCATTGCAGTCTAAGAGTGGAACTTCAAAACACACTTCTTTCAACCCAGTTAACTTTCTTCGGAATCAAAATGAACAGGATTGTGTAAAACCAAAGCAATAATGAATACATAGTAACCCTCCTGCAGCATAATTTTTAAAATGCTAGTCAGTTGCCTTGCCTTACCCATTAGTCAAGATTTGCCAAAGAAACTTTATTTACTATTTATTACTACTTCGAGCAACAATTACTGAGGTATTTCCATCTGATTCCAGGAATCTGTGGACATGCCTTGGCACTTTGGCAAGATCTGTTTCTGATTACAGTAGAATCAAATTTAATTGTAGAATGGAAGAATCTCTGCATCTTTATTACCTCCTAGCCTTTCAGTATACGCTTATCTTTTTGAAGTAATTTATTAACAAAAGAAAGATAACTCTGTATGCTTTTGAGTTCTAATGGTTTTCCTCCCTATTGCTGATATTTCTAATGAACAGCTTTAGCATGTAGAAATTGGTCTTGATTTAGGCTATCTGCCTCCATTTAGGAAAGGCTATTGTCTACCCTGTTATTAGGTAGAAGAAACATTTTTCTTCTATGGGATATTTTACACTGCACCTCTGTCTTGTGGATAGATGGTAAGAAATTTGGTGTTGTTTTTAATGCATAAATCCTTAGAAAATGAAGCAAGTCCTACTGTACAGCACTCACATCATTACTGCATTCCAGCTCTTTAGTATTCTTGAAGTGGAGGGGGGGGGGGGGGGGGGGAATATGTCAGGCAATCCAAAATGTTAATCTGAATTTAGTTCAGAGTCTTTGGTAATTTCTTCAGCTCATCTGACTTATTTCTGAATTACAGAGATGATTAACAAGTCTGTCTGTACTAGCAATTCATTAATACTCTTCTTTAACTTCTCTCTGATTTGTCTTACGCTCAAGATTAGTCTTGTCAAGTCTTGTCAAGCATGTGACATTCACTCATTCAGACATCTTCTTACATTTGTGACCTAACATTGCTCCATAGTAACTTAAAGGAATTCTAAAAACTTTTGTGTGATTATTGTATTGTGACTTTTGCATCTTCCCTTAATCATGCTTTATTCCTGTTGCAGTTGTAAACTGATGTGAATATGGACAGTGAAAGAGAAAAGGCAATCATTTTTGGAGCATTGAACAAAAAGCCAACAACTATGCTGGCAGTTAAGGCTTTCAGCAGCAACTGTTACAGCCTATATAGTCTTCTCAGTAATTACAGTCTTACAATAGACATAGATTTCAACCATTTAACTTTAACTTTGATCGTTCATCCCAATAGAGGCTCTGCACATTGCAAAAGCAAGATGGACTTCATTATCTTTATCTTTGTTTCTATCTCCTTCAAAGGACTTTGTTTGTGAACAGGTGGGCTGCAGCCCTGAAACATGCGTTCTATGAGAACTAGATATGAAAAGGTTCTGAAGAATGGATATAAACTGCTCTGGCCTTCCTGAATTCACTCAGAATCTCAAGATATGGAAAGAAGGCAAAGCAGCTAGAAAACAGTGATTAAGCCAGGCTCATCAATCTATTCATGATGATACCGAATGCATTGTTAAATTACTGCTGACTGACTATATTACAAAATAATACATAGAAGCCTAGTGGAGATACATAAAACAAAGCAAATTCTAAAACATTTTTAAAAAACCAGCAGACTAAATGAACATAAAAATGAAAGTAGTATGCTTCAAATAAGACACTCTGACTTGAATTCCCTTGTTTGAAGATACCTTAAATTGTACTTTATTGGCAATGATGAAGTAAATGCTTAGGCTCCATTTCCTGTAGTTTGGTTTTCATTGCTTTCTGGACACATCAATTTGTTCATTTTTCAGCATGTCCTTGTGAACTTTAGCTCTTCCACTTGCCTCATCAGCACAGAGACTACAGCCAGAAGGAAAATCATTGAGAGTAGCAGAAAGGCTCACACATCCTTTGGACAACAGTAACAAATGCTAAACTTTCCCATTTTTAGACAGAAAACCTATGATCTTCACAGTCTAACATATTAGAATGTAAGTTTCTTTGTATGCAGGTATATTAATCCCATGACCTTCATATGGTTCTGTTATGCGCTGACATAACTATATTTGTGCATTTTATTTATTTATTTCCCAATCTTCTGCCTTGGACTAGTGACCAGCTGGCCTCATGATCATTTTCTTGTTCTTGCACTGGGAAACTACCTGAGGACAGGAAAAGAGCTGATGTGGTTTCCATCTTCAAAAAAAAAAAGGAAAAAAAAAACAGATGCAAGACCAGTCAGCCTGACATAAATATTTGGGAAGATCCTGGAAAAGATCATCAAGAAACAGATTTCCAAATATCTAGAAGCAAGGAAAGTTATAACCAGAAGCCAACATGGGCTTGTCAAAAACAGAGCATGCCAAACAAATCTTATTTCATTCTTCGACAAAGTGACTAAATTGTGGGCCAGTGAAATAAAATTGAATTTTTAGCAAGGCATTCAACAAAATAGACTACAACCTACTTCTTGGTAAGCTAGAAAAATGTGGGATAGACAGCATTACCACCAGATGGATTTGTAACTGGCGGAGAAACCGTACTCAACGAGCAGTCCTTACATCTACAGGGAGGGAAGTAAGCAGCGAGACACCACAAAGTTCTGTCTTAGATCCAGTACTTTTCATTATCTTCATAAAAGACTTAGATGAGGGAATAGAAGGGGAACTCATCAAATTTGCAGATGACACTAAACAGGACTAGAAGATCTCCAAGATTTCTTCCAACTCTATTATTCTATATTCTTACCATCTTTCCATTCCAATAGAAAGTCCCAAGAACAGGAGGTTAGCAGCACTGCCATTTTCCACATATTTTTTTTTTCATTCCAAACTAACTATTAAAAACCTAAATTTCCTAATATTGGCTAGTATTATTCTACAAAATACCAATAAATAGTATCTTCCAAGATGTAAGACAATTACTTTAAAATGTTATAGAGTAGCAGAGGATGCTTTTGAACAATGATCATTATTTGCAATTGATCTTTCATAACCTCCATTGGCTATGTAAAGACCATAATAACATTTAAATCCTTTTCATCAAAGTTAAAGTCACATGAAGAGTTATCTTGTAGTGTAGATGCAAAAGCATCTGTCAGTTCAGAGTTCATATTGATCATTGGAGGAACGCATGTCCTAATCCAAATTGACAACACTTCTTAAAAAGCTATCTGGACCAGACACAAGTTACCTTCAGCTGAATGAGCAGCCACAAGTTAAAAGCACAGTGAACCCCATCAGAAATCACACCAAGACTGAAGAGCATAAGTTTATGCTGGACCCAAGAATCCATCCTTGCCATAAATTGTAGCAAACCTCAAACCCTCAGATAGAAACCTCAAATTTAAAAAAAAAAGGGGGGGGGATGTCAATCTGATCACAGTTCACATTCTGACATGATTTCCTAAAAGAAGAACAAGTCATATCATGCAGATTTGCATACTGGTAGCACTGAAACTGGAATGATGGATGCTCCTGTACTGCTTTTGGACGGATGGAAGAGTTTGCCTCTGACATAAGCTGGTGTGATGCCCCTTTGAGAATGGTGTCAGCATTCATTCAAATGACTGTTTTCTGGGTTATACAAGAAGGAAGTAGGCAGTTAAGACACCCTAAGTTTTAGCAAAGTACCACCACCCCCCAGGTAAAGTTAGGCCTGTTCTGTGTCCATGGTGGTCACTTTTTGCAAACACTGTCCATAATCAGAAAAGTACCCACCCAGAGTTTGGTGGAGCCTGTAAATCCCATACATAAATGAATCTGCATTCTCTATGAAGGACAGTCCATACATCTAAAATACTGTATTGCTATGAGGATTTAAATGTGTTGCAGAACAGGTGACGAATAACTACTTCAGGCTTATTTTAAAATAATAATAATAAAGGTAAGGTTTTTTTAGAA